AAAAAAAACAAATGAGGCTATTAAAATACTACAAATTTCTCAATCTAAATTTATTCCATTTCCACAACTCAAACTTGTTATCTCTAATCTAAACTAATTCTATAAAAGTCGGGCCCAGAAGAAAAATAAGGATACAAGAAGAGTGAAGGATAAGTTCTTCAATCGGGCTCATTTCTGAATGCTGTGGACATGGGCCAGCATCTCCCTTTTTAAAGATTACTTTGTAAAATCCCTTACACAATATTGTCATTACTTGCTAAGTGATTTATTATAGGCAGGAACTTGATTACACATGTGAACACACATGCAAATCTCTACTCCTAAAACAGAGGAGATATTTCTTAATGGTTATATTCACTAGAAAGAAGTGGGTTTTGCAATAGTTGTTAAATACTCTAAGAACATATATTCAAATAAGAGTGTGCTAAATTCCCGATCTTTAAAGCTTTTAATAACTTGCTAAATCCATCTATCCCCCAAAGAGTATGCACTGCCTCTCATCTTATCTAAAGAAACAGGATTTCTTCTTTCTCCCAAACCAAAAGCTACTGCTAACTTTACTAGTTAGTAAACTAAAGATGTCGGGCTTGGTGGTGCCTTAACCCGCTGAGCCATCTCACTGGCTTGATAATCGGTCTTCTTCGAGCAGAGACCGTCTGAACAACCCAGCAGACAAACAAGTTTACTATCTATTTGTTACATTGCTACATCAGGAGATTACCTTGAAGAACTCCGGAAATGTCACTGGCTTGTAGCCTCTTTTACCCTAAAATTATGCAACTTGGCAGCCCAGTACTGCACAGATTTTGAAATGACCATGAATGTTCTCTGAAATCCATAAGGCTGGCCTTCAATATTTCCATGAATAAAAAAAGTCTGTTCAATTCAGAGATCCATATCTGATTATATATATGGCTCATGGATATGCCAATTTTCTACAGACAACATGTCTATTGGACCCATTACTGGTGGAGAAAAGTAATAGAAATTCATATACTTTCATGTAGATTTTCATAGGGAGACTTTCATTTAACTTTTAAAAGAAAGGATTTTTCGCGTCAACTTTTTACAGGAAAATAGTGCCACTCGATGGATGTGTCAATTCTTTGTCACAATCTTACTGCTACTTAGTCGATCTATAGGAATTTTTCATGTTGCCTATGTTTTGAAACCCCTTAAGGACGTCTCAGCATCCTGAAGATGAGGATCTTTCCCAACCTCTGTCATCCCCATAGCACCAGTTGAGAAAGCATGTGGAGACAGGTAGGAAGATCGACCCGGGGGGAGGGGGGCTCCCGTCAGTAGGTATCATCACTAAGGTACACCCGGGGATGCCGCTAGAGTGGCAAATGGGCAGATCCGAGGTGACTGTTACTAAGGAAACTATTATTTTCCACACAGGGAAATGTTATCAGTGACTCAGCACTGACCAATTACTGTCTTTTGCTAGGTTCCTTAGAAATTAAGGCCGCTTTAGAATAAAGGAAGGGGACAGAAGGGAAGAGAGAGAGGAAGAAGAGAGGAAGGGGACAGAATGGAAGGGAGAGAAGGAGGTGGGGGAGGCTGATATTTCCCTTCAAAGGCTCTCCATCCTGAATTTGACTTAGCATAATATTACTACTCAGAACCACTCAGATATGTCCTTATTAAGCACCAAGGGAGTATGTCTGGGTACCAGCCAAGTCACAGGTTTTTTTTGGGTTTTTTTTTTTAACTATGTATTGTTTTTGTTTGTTTGTTTGTTTTGAGACATGGTTTCCCCGGTAGCCACAGCTGGCCTGGAGCTTGCTGTGTAAACCAGACTGGCCTTGATGTTACAGAGATTCACCTGCCTCTTCCTCCCAAGTGCTGGGATTAAAGGCTTGAGCCGCTGTGCCCAACTTAACTCTGTAATCTTTATTCCCAAATTTATAAGTAGATAGCTCAAAATGTAGTGTATAACAGAGAAGACATTTATAATATGACATGGATAATAACCAGAGAGATAAAATTAGTTTAAGTCAATGAACCAAAGAATGTAAAATTTTACAGAAGGGACCTTACTGTTGTCAGAAAAGGAGGAATACTGCGCTTCCTAGGAATTAAGAGTTGGCACTGAAGGCACACAGAAGCCATCAGAAGATCTGGGTATATGAGGGCCTACAAGAACTGAATTGTAATCACAGTGCAGTTGTCTCTGAAATCTCTCTCCTCTTTCTCTTTTTCTCCCTCCTCTCTTTCTGTCTCTTCTAAAGGACTTCATCAATAAACTGCTTGCTCACTGAAATAGATGGTCATGGTTACTCATGTGGGCAGTGTAGGATTAGCATTCCAAGAAAAACAAGAAAATAATTCCAGTGACTGAATTGGTCAGTTTAGAATGGGAAAAATAAATCAGTATTGCCAACTAACTGACTTGATTAGTCTGTTCAGATACTCCACGGTAGGCACTATTTGTGGCTTACCTAACAATCAAATTACCTTTTCTATTTTTATAGAAAAAAAGGTTTTACTAATTTGGTAGTAAAAGAAATCTCATGCACCTAAATTTTGTGTTGAATTTACCCCAATATTAGGACCAAATTTCCATAATGCCAAAAAGCAAGGTTACACATTAGGTTCAGGGCTAAGATTGGTAACACACGACTTGCTGTTAAGATTGGTAAGTAACACTAGGGAGACAGAGACAGATAAATCTCCGTGAGTTTGAGGCCAGCCTGGTCTGCGTAAGGAGTTCCAGACCAGGCAGGGCTATATAGTGAGACTCTGCCTCAAAACCAACCGAACAAACGTTAGTTTTAGAGATATGTGTTGAGTTTCGCAGTTGGATTGGACCACCAAGTAGGAACACCTACAAGCCACCATTGTTCAAAGGGATCTTGTGGATTGAGTTATGAAACAGCTCAGTGAAAGGTCATCGTGTAAGTACATTTAAATGAAAATTTTTAACTGAAATATTAAATTCTCATACAGCTAGTCTAAAATGACTTTCTCTTTGCTGATAGTGATTGTAGCGGAAATACCCAACTGCTTTAAGCTCACACATCAGAAGTTGATATCACGCTAACAATTTATTTGAGAGGTGGCTAGATAGGTTGATACTCTATCCTCTTAATTAAATGCTAGCTCAGTTTTTTTTCGACATAACTGCATGAAACAGTTTTAAGTAAGTTATTGATTTCAAGATAACTGTATCTTGTATTAAGGACTAGATTCAGAGTCATTTAATCAGACTCATTACCATTGACTCCAAGTGACTCTGCATACTGTTTCAAAGGGGCTGTAAACCTGGATGTCAAGTTTAAATCAACTTGATTCAGAGTGGAATTGCATGGCATCAAACTTCTCCAGTAAAGAAAATCAAACAGTTGAACATAAATACCCAGACAATGAATGCCCTGGACAGGGTGACTGGATTAGAACCAGAGTGGTCACCAGTTGGACCATCTTTGCTATGCTGCTCTGCCAGCTAGCAATGAGAACATTAGCTTTATTCAGTCAAAGGTCAAATCCATGTTACACCTAGGATTTTATATGACCACTGTGAGGGAACAGAGTAGGAAGAGCAAAAAGAGTATGTTAGCACAGGTTTAATACACATTATTTCCAGTAGAACTTTAAATACATGCCACCTAAAATAATACAGTGTGACATGTTTCATCTCTTTGCTTGGACAATCTGAGATGACAGAAAATTGTATGGCTCAATCTCTTCTCCGCAATCCCAGAGAAAAGGGAAGCTGTGCTAAAAATACACCACATGGAATACACCATTGACTGACTCCTACCTTTCCATGCAGCTATTAATCAATCGTTCCTTTGTCAAGCTTGGTCCCAGTGACATTTGCTATTTTCCTCTCTGTCACCTAGCTATTTAACTATGATGTAAAGTCAGAATCCTGTTACAGTCAGTGGAACAGAGCTGGTCAGTGGAACAGAGCTGCAGCTATTGACCAGGACCCTAATATGCTTCTTCTCTGAGGTCTCTGAGTTTCCTGACTAGAGCCAGGAGAGGCTGCAGAGGCTTCAAGAAGGCACCTGGGGCAATGCCTTTAATCCTCACCACTGCTCTGGGAAAAAAAAGGAGACTGAATAAGAAAGCTCAGCGACTCAGGAGAGCTGGGATCACTCCAAGCTTCTCATTTCTCCTTGACACCTTTACATTCTTAGGTGAATTCATCTGGGCTAGAGAGTGCCAGAAGGTACTGTGATGAAAAACAAAAACAAAACAACAACAACAACAAAAAAAAAACCTAAAAGGTGGGTGGAGAGAAAGCACAGAGGCAAGCAGGAATCATTTCAAGTCTGCTTAGGAATAATCTTCCCTAATACATTTTACAGCCAGGAAAATCAGATGCTGGCTAAAATCCAAAGTCATTGTGTAATCACTTAAGTGTCCATTTAAATCAAAGTGTAAATGGGAGAGGGACCTGGGGGCACTTCCCATCTTCTTCACTGCTGATTTTAGCGCAGAAGGGGGATACTGAGCATCTGAGAATTTATAGTCCTGAACGTCTAAAGGAAACTCAGGAAAATCTTAAAATATGGCAGACTTTTTGTAGCGGTTTTACAGTAAAGGTAACATCATTCTCCCTTATGCTTTCTGGAGAGTTTGCTCCTGCTATTTTCTTAGCCAGGGTTGCACACGATGGAAACAGACACACTTCCAAAGAGAGATGGAGTCTCCAGTGTCCTTAAACTCCAAGAGCCTATCTTACCATGCAATCCTGCTGCGACGGAATTTCTCTCCTTTGATAACTTAGCAAAGGTGTTTACAACTGCAGGCGGAAATAAAGCAAGCTTTCAGTTGCAATCACAAACAGGACGCGCTACGCATAAATTAAGCTGCGGACGTGCCACCTAAGCGCACCTCCAGGGGCATCACCTCCAGGGCAATTCCACCACCCCGAAGACAAGGAAACCATGTCTCCTTTTATGACTGAGTTTAGCTGCTTTTGGAGTCCTGCTCTGTTAGCTCACCTAAGGTTCAGGTTACACTGCCTCTCAATCGTGGGCAGGTCTCCACGTCTCTGCAGTAAAGATACTCTCGCAACTGATCCTAGAAGCCTTTACCCCGGAGAGGGAGCAGGCGGCGCCCTGGAGGTGACCGCCTTTGTGACCACGGTTGTGATCACGACCACCCCCACGTGCTCACAGCCAGCACATCGCCCTGGGAGAGCCTCCTCTGGAAGAACAGCAAGGGTGACACAGTGCATGTGCTGGCAGCCCCCAAGCCAGAGGCTCCAGACTGCTAGTGGCTGTGCCACGTTTTCCAAAGGATCAGCCCTTTGCTAGTTTTTCCACGCACTAGGCAAACCCAAGCACAGGAGCGTGGAGGCTGGAGCGCTACCCGGCTCCTGAACTCCGTGTCCCAGGACTGCGCGTCACGTGTCCCCTGTCCCGCCACTCATTCTTTCAGTCTCTCAAGCCCACGCAGCGCTACGCGGACAGCGACCATGCCCAGTGCATCCGGAACGCGGACAACGTGTGCCCAACCCAAAAGGACCACACTCTGCCTCCGGAGGGGCCAGAGCCCGCTTGGAGCGCTACCCGGCTCCTGAACTCCGTGTCCCAGGACTGCGCGTCACGTGTCCCCTGTCCCGCCACTCATTCTTTCAGTCTCTCAAGCCCACGCAGCGCTACGCGGACAGCGACCATGCCCAGTGCATCCGGAACGCGGACAACGTGTCCCCAACCCAAAAGGACCACACTCTGCCTCCGGAGGGGCCAGAGCCCACGGTCCCCCACTCAAGTTAAGGCCACCTTGGTCCGCGCGCTTGCATTCAGTACTCCCACCCTACACGGGTCACCACCGGTCACCGCTGCAGCACCGGACCTCCCCGCCCTCCTCACCCGGTGCACCCCCCACCACCACCCCCGACAGGTCCCTGCGGAGCCAGGAGGCTGCAGAGAGCAGGGGACTAGCACGGGAACCCGGGAGAGAAAAAGTGGGAACCCAGAGCCACCGCAGCAGGATGGGTGGCTTAGTCTCTCCCGGGTCCCTCCTGGATTCCATTCCTGCAAAGCTTGCGGCGGCCTGAAAGTCCGGATGCGTGTTGCACTCCCTCCCAACTTTCTCCTGCCCATTCTCAGATGCCGTGGAAGTGGCCGTGTCTGCAGGTGGAAGGGAGTTGGGGCGCACAACGTACCGCGAGCTGCGGCCACCCCTCCGCGGGAGGCGGTCAGACTCTGAAGCCACACGCTCAGGACCACGAGGAGCAGGACTTTGCTCTCCATCTCCCGGCGCGTACTTGTGCAGAGCTGCAGGGCGCTGATCGGCGGTTACACTGGGCTGCACCAGAGGCGCGAGAGAGGGCTGGAGCGCGGTCTGGCTCAGGGCAAGTTACCCTTAAAAGCGGAGTGCAAGGCAGATTTCCTCTGAGGAGAAGGCAGAGGAAGAGAAGGAGGAATTGAGTCTGACACGGTTCCCACTCCACAGCTGTTTAAGTGACTGGAAATATGCAAATAAACCTCACCACCTATTGGCTATAAAATCATAAGTTGGGGGGAGGGCCCTAAATTCACTTCCAAATATTTGAGCAAACTGCAGCTAGACTCAACCCTGCCAGCAAGAAGAAGGGGAAAGGGCAGGAGGGAAAGTTTGCTTCTCCTTTAGGCTCCTGTTTGTCTATGCTAAAGGGACTGCTCCCCAGGGACCCCTGGAGAGGGACCCAAGGCAGGTTTACACTGCTTTATGTCACATACCCAACATTCATCAGCTTTCCAAGGGTAGGGAGTTTTGCTCTTAAACTACATTTGTTTAACACTTTAATCCATGCCTCCTTTGATGGATCCTGTTTGTAACTTGCAAAGCTCCCCCCTACCACCACCAAAAAAAAAAAAAAAAAAAAAAAAGTCGATGTAGGAATGTAGGACACACGCTGCTCCGTGGCTGGTGCTTGCTCAATCTGTTATTCCGTCATTGGCAATACGGATTCCCTTCTGTGACAGAGAAAAAGCTCATTTGCCTTAACTAGCTTCTAATTTTTGTCTCATGCAAATTATACTCAATTCTCAAGTTCATCAAGAAATGCAAAAATAACATTTTATCTTTAGAGGCAAAAGGTCAAGGTCAAATAATTGCAAACTATACTGAATTCCCAGTGGGATAGGCCATTCCAAAAGAAACATATTGTATGATTCCTGGACTACAGAGTCAGAAAGCAGATGGATATATTCTGAATTTTTATGATGATCATTGCACAACTGTGTAAATGCAATGAAATTGAATTGCACACTATGTAGGTGAACAATGGGCTGTTTTAAAAAGTGGACTGGGCCTGGGTATCATGGCACTCAACTTTAATCCCAGGCAGAGGCAGGCAAATCTCAGTGAGATGTAGGCTAGCCTGGTCTACATAGCAAGTTCCAGGCCAGCTGGGGCCACAGGGAGAAACGATCTCAAAACAAACAAACAAACAAAGTGGACTGCATTCAGAATAAGAAGAAAAATAAAATCATACTGGATACTGTGCCTGCCTGCCAAAGTACTTGGAATACTTTCAAATATCTTTTTCAATGAGAAGAGTTTATATACCTAGGAGAACAGCTAACTCTATATTCCCCACCTTCAGGCTGAGAATCTCCCTCATAAAATCAGAACCTCCAAATGGCTCTCTTTGCTGGTCTGAGTCTCTTTCATAAGTCCCTCTGTCCATAACACACATGCAGGTACACCCCCACTCCACACACATGCATTAAGGATTAAAAGATCGAAAACTATACAATGAAAACTTTTCCAGTTTTTCTCAAAAATATAACACCTTGCTAGTCTGTAGAAGAGTTCTATCTTTAAGCCTATGGACTCTGTGTCACAACTTATCATCTTGCATTGCAATTCTTGAACAGTACCTCATCCACATTCATTATGGGCTATACAACAAGCAGAGAAGAATTCATTACAGGATATGAAGCAGGGCAAGAGAGAAACACAAGAAACAACGTTGGAAGTGGCAAAAGAGAAGCCAGGGTGGACAATTAGGATATGGCCACCCTCCAAAAAGTATCTAGTAAGCTCTAATTTTACAACATGACGGTGATGTTAAAACATATAAACAGAAGTCAGAAATACCTACTCTTTTATCTACAATATACATGGAGCCTATTTTCATGCATGGATATCATTTGACAAGACTCCCAAACCAACCCACACCTCTGCCTGTGTCTTTTAGAGAACTGTAAGATTTTATGTAGTTGCTAATAGGGATGCCTGGTGCTTATAATGTACTTTCAAAATGATCTCCCAGGTTAACAAAATGCAAACAGTGCTCCAGAGTTGGAGTATGTTTTTCTTGTTATGTGAAGTGTGAACCTGGTTTTGTGCTGGCCCAAGCTGCTACTTTGTATGTCCCTTAGAGGGGCAGAAATTTCCAGGAAGAACTAACATAGAACTCAGCCTGGTAGAAAAGCCGACAGATTGGCAACTTTCCAGGGGACAAGTGGTGGGCAGGTGGGTGTGGCGGCCACGCTCACTCTTGATTGGTTGTACTGGGCTTGGTCAGGTGCCCCAGTTCTTTTGTAGACACTCACAGGAGCTCCAGGTCAGGATCTTGTGCACATTAGACAGGCATCTGATGCCCAAACCTCCACAAGGTTATTTGACCACACACAGTTTGATGCTTGATCTTTCTAAAATTGACATTTCCTTCATAATAGATTCAAAAAGGCATTAAATTCAAAGAAACTAAGCATGTTAAAACTTTTAACAAAACAGTATCCTTGGGGAAGGACATTTTCAGCACCTGCTATAGTTAAAAGTGATGTAAATAAAAAGTCAAATATGTGTAGCTAATGAAACACTGAAATTTCAGATGTAGGGACACTCTATCCATCTGTCTGTCTGTCTGTTATTATTTTGATTAGCTGCCTGCTATTTGCACATGGGGCTTTTCATCCTCTAGTGCATTCTTCTGTGTCCAAGACGCAACAATTTTCCCATGTTTCACAGGAAGAAAAATGGAACTCCTAAGAGATCAAATAACAGTAATAACAGTAGCCAGAAATTACAGAGTGCACCCCCCCCACACACACTCTGTTGGCAGTCCCAGGAGAGAAGGAAAACATACTTGCTCTGTTAAATTTTAATCTTTTAATTGCAAACCAGAAAAGGCTGAGCAGCAGTTTTTTGCATATGCAGATTTTATTTTGTGGTTTGCTTGCAAACTAAAATATGATGAAACGTCTAACTGAACTTAAAAGAGCGTCAGTATTGACGTAGACCTTGTATCATAAAAATATATTTAATATAGGAACTGCATGCCTAATACAAAATTTAAAAATGCAAAATCACAAACTCAAAATATATATTAAAGTCTACTGGTTTTTCTAAATAAGGAAATAATAAAAGCAAACCAAGGTGCTCTAAAAATTGTCATAAGGGCTTTTCTGCCATTTTCTAAACATATCCCAGGATTAAACTGTAGATAGAGGGGCACAAACAGCCGCAATGGTGATCACTGAGGTGATGGCGATCACGGTGGTGGTGAGGGGAGGGCAAGGTGGATGCAACAGCTGCAGATCTGCTGCAGAGGATGGAGCTGTCCTACAGGGCAGTTGATAAGCACAGGTCCTGCAGTCCCCTTCTTTAGCCCATCACGCAACAGTGCTTTGTTGAAGAATCAAGTAACCTATTTCAGGAATATTAAACTCAGACAAAAGAACTCCTTTGATGAAATTGGGTGCTGTGATCTCAAAATGTTAAAAGAGCAAAGTAATATTATATTTAGTAAAGTTCTTACAAGTCTGCCCCCTCCTCACCTCAGATCCTGTTTGCTTGGGGAATGGGGAGTAGTGTGGACTGTGGGCTTACCTCAAACCATAAAGTTAATATATAAAATGATCTAAACACATTTTAAAGGTTTTGGTTTTCTTGAGTTGGGGAACTCATCATGCAATTTCCACATTCTACAACAATAAGCAACCAATAAGAATAACAAATGTATAGATAAATTGACATGTACATATATGTATTAGGTAATACTATCTGTATCAAGTTTTGTCTCAATAAAGTTAAGAGTAATAGTCAATTTAAAAAGAGAACAACTCCAATCCCATGCCAGTGCATTGCAATGGTACGGGTTAAGCAAGGCTTTGAGCTGGGGAAAAGGGACAGAATGTTCTAGATGCTGTTACAGAGAGGATTCCAGTTTTCCCTAGGAAAGAGCTGATAAACTGAAAATAGACTGCCGTACAGGTGACGTTCAGTTTATAGCTCCATGTTCATGTATAAGTAGATGCCTTCGTTCTCCACGACACAAAACATAAAACAAAACAAAAATTTAACTCTCCATTGGAGCTAAAAGCATACTTCCTATGAGACCTCTTTAATGACACGAATACATGAAGTCATTAATGATCTTTACTGAAATTTCATACTGAGGTAACTTTAGAACCAACCTCAAAACCCTTGTCCAACAAGCTTAGCCCCACTCCTCAAACAATGTGTTTGAAGCGCCTCCTGCTGACCACTTGTTATCACTGCCGCATCTCCAAAAGCAGTCCCAACGAGCTTCAGTTGATTTATTAACATTCTAGATTTTAAAAAATAATTTAACATACACAGCAATGGATTTTCCTACAGAAGTTTCATACATATGTACTTTCCTCTAATTTGCCCCGTCTCCACAAGCCCTCCTTCCCTCCCCTTCCCTGCGCCCCACTTTCCTCTTGTTGGTCTCTTTCCTTCCCTCAATCAGTGCTGCCTTTTGCTTTCATGTCATATATATTCTCTTACCCTCTCTTTTTGTTTTTTGTCTTTTTGAGACAGGGTCTCCCGGTAGCCCCAGCTGGCCTGGAACTCATTTTGTAGACCACGGGGCCTCGAACTCACAGAGATCTGCCTGCCTCTGCCTCCCGAGTGCTGGCCTTACAGGTGTGCGCTACCACGCCCGGCACTTACCCTTTCTTTTTTCATTTAATCCTCTCCCTTAAGATCTCTTCCCATTCTCTCATGGTCCCATTTTTATGTTAATACACACACATCTATACACAAATATAAATATATACTTAAATCTAAGTTCCACATATGAAACAAAGCATAGTATTTGTATTTCTCAGTCTGATTTAATTTGTGTAATACAGAGATTTCCATTCCCATGCATGTTCCTGAAAATGTTATGATTTCATTTTTTCTTTATGGCTGACATATTGATTTACAAATTATTTATACATATATACACACATTTTACAGAAAAAAAGAAAAGCACAATATGTAGAATGTCCTCTAAAGACTTCTTCTTAGGAACAGAAGACTATTGCCCCAATTCAAAGGGTAAAATCTTATACATGGGAAAGGCAAGGTGAACATGTTTAAATAGCAGCCTTGCCAAAAATGATGGAAATTTCAGCTTTATCTTCAATGAAATTTAAAGGATTACTCATGACGCAATTTAAGCCTTTTCAGAAATCTTTAATAAAAAAGCAAAAGTCATCCCCAACACTTTAAAGTACTTACAACAATCCCAGTACTTTAATTCTAGGAGTTCTTACAGTTCATTTGGCTGCTGTGCAATGCGGTATT